AAATAAATTGAATAGAATTAAACAAAAATTAATAACCATGATAAGATAAAAATCAATAAAAATAAAATCAAATAACAGAAATAAAAAAAATCAAAATCAATAAATAATAAAGAAATAATAAAAATCAAAAATTAAGTATAATAATTAAATAATAGTAAATCAAATACAGTTAAATAATAAAAAATCAAATAGTTAAAAAATTAATAATAAATAAGATAAAAATCAAATAAAAAATCAAATTAAATAATAAAAGATAAAAATTAAATAAAATTAATAATAAAATGAAAAATAACATGATACAAGTCAAATAATCAAATTAACAATAAATAAACTCATAATAAACATCAAAAACTAAATAAAATTAAATAATAATAAGATAAAATTCAATAAAAATTTAATAATAATCAAATTAAAAATAAGTTAATAAAATAGTAAAAAATAAAATAGAAATTAATAAAAACATCAAAAATGAAATAAAAATCAAATAAAATAATCAAATAATAATCCAATTAAAAATAAATAAATAATCAAAATGAAATCAAATAAAAATCAAATTAAAAACAATAAAGTAATAAAAATCAGATGAAAATCAAAACTAATCAAATTGAAAATTAAAAAATCACTAAATGAGATTCAAATGAAATAATAATAAAAATGACATGAAACATCAAATCTAATGACATTAAAAAATCTTCCTCATTAAATAATATAAAAATGAAATAATAAAAATCCAATTAAAAAATCAAATGAAAATCCAATTAAAAACCATCAACTCATCATCAAACCATCAAAGGAAATCAAAAGGAAATCCAACAGGGAATCCAACAGGAAATCAAAAGGAAATCAAACAGGAAATAAAAAGGAAATCAAAGAGGAAATTAAAAGGAAATCCAACAGGAAATCAAGAGGAAATCAAAGGAAATCAAACAGGAAATCAAGAGGAAATCAAAAGGAAATCCAGAGGAAATCAAGAGGAAATAAAAAGGAAATCAAACAGGAAATCAAGAGGAAATCAAAAGGAAATCAAACAGGAAATCAAAAGGAAATCAAAAGGAAATCAAGAGGAAATCAAACAGGAAATCAAAAGGAAATCAAACAGGAAATCAAGAGGAAATCAAAAGGAAATCAAGCAGGAAATCAAACAGGAAATCAACCAATGCAGGATCCATGAATCATGACGTCACAGGAAGCATCCAATCAGAACACAGGGAGGAGAATCCCATCTCCTTGACCCCTGACCCCCACCCACCCTCCCTCCTCCACTTCCTCCTCCTACTTCCTACTTCCTGTTTCAACCAGGAAGTAAGAGATTCATCCTTCCTCTTTCCTGGAGGAAGAGGAGGAGGATGATGATTTCTGGAGTGTTCTACAGGTAGACAGGTCTATACATTCAGAGCAACTGGAAGCTTCTAGAAAGTTCTTTATCCCCCTGGACAACACCCATGGTTGTTCATAGAAGCTTCTAGAAAGTTCTTTATCCCCCCCCCTGGAAAACACCCATGGTTGCTCAGAGTGGCTTCTAGAAAGTTCTTTTATCCTAAATAGCATACATTTTTTTGTTCACAGAGACTTTAGAAAGTTCTTTCACATGGGAAAACAGCCATTTTTTGTTCACAGAGTGTTCTAGAAAGTTCTTTCATCCCAAACCACACCCATTTTGGTTCAGAGACATTTCTAGAAAGTTCTTTCATCCCAAAGTACATCCATTTTTGTTCACAGAGGCTTCTAGAAAGTTCTTTCATTCTAGAAATCAACCATTTTTGGTTCACAGACTTCTAGAAAGTTCATTCATCGTAAACCACACCCACCTTTGTTCATAGACACTTCTAGAAAGTTCTTTCATCCTAAACAACACCCATGGTTGCTCATAGAGAGTTCTAGATAGTTCTTTCATCCAAAATAACAACCATTTTTGTTCACAGAGACTTCTAGAAAGTTCTTTCAGTCTAAACAACACCCATGGTTGCTCATAGAGAGTTCTAGAAAGTTCTTTCATCCTAATAACCATTTTTGTTCATACACACTTCTAGAAATTTCTTTCATTCTGGTAATCAACCATTTTTGTTCCTAGACATCTAGAAAGTTCTTTCAGTCTAAATAACACCCATGGTTGTTCATAGAGAGTTCTAGAAAGTTCTTTCATCCTTAATTACAACCATTTTTGTTTATAGACACTTCTAGAAAGTTCTTTCATTCTAGAAATCAACCATTTTTTGTTCACAGAGGCTTCTAGAAAGTTCCTTCACAGGGTTAAACACACATTTTTGTTACAAAAATCTCCTTGGTGTTGTTTTTTTCCCTCTCTTATATACATTTTCCTTTTAATTTCCTCTTTTGTACAAAGTTTCTGAAGTTACAGTTCAGATCAACCCCCCCCTCCCCAAAAATGAACAGAAAAATCAAGTTTCCCCTCCCTCAACCCCCACCCCACCAAAAAGGGGGAAAAAAAAGAAAATTACACCAAAAAATGAACATGGAAATCACAGAAAATCAAAATCCATAAAATTTTAAAAATCAAGTAACGAAAATTAAAAGTGGAATCAAGAAAGACCAAACTTAAAATGGAAAATCTAATAAACACGGAAAATCAACTATCCAAAACTAAAAATTCCAATTAAAATGATTAAAATTGAAAACGAGAAATGATTAAACAACGAAATTAAAAATTAAAATTGAAAATTGAAAAAAGTGCCAATTAAATCGAATTTCAAAGTGAAATTGAACATCAAATGGAATACTGAAATTGAACATTGAGAATCAAGCGAAAAATTGAAATTGAAAATTAAATCAAATTGAAATTGAAAATCCAACTGCAAATTGAAATCGAAAACTCAACCTGAAATTGAAAATCCAACTGCAAATTGAAATAAATCAAAAATTGAAATAGTAATTTAAAATAGAAAATCCAATTGCAACTTGAAATTGAAAACTAAATCACACTCAAATTTAAAATTGAAAATCAAATGGAAACTTTAGAGTTGAAATTGAAAATTAAATCCAATTGTAATTGGAAATGTAGAATTGAATTGAGAATCAAGTTGAAAGTTAAAATGGAAATTGAGAGGAAAATCAAGTTGAAAATTGAAATTTAAAATTGAAATTTAAAGTTGAAAATCAGATTGCAAATTGGAAACTAAATCCTTTTGAAATTGAAAATCCAATTGAACATTGAAAATTAAATCAAGTTGAAATTGAAAATTAAAATTGAAAATTGAAATTGAAAATTCTAATTGAAATTTAAAATGGAAAATCCAATTGAACGTTGAAATTTAAATTAAACCTAAATTAAAATTTGAAATTGAAAATCCAATTGAAAGTGGAAACTGAAAACCAAATCAAATTGAAAATTGAATTTGAAAATTAAATTGAAATTTAAAATTGAAGTTGAATTTCAAGTTGAAAATGAAATTCAGACTTAAAATTGAAATTGAAAACTAAATCAAATTTAAAATGGAAAATCCAGTTGCAACTAGAAATAGAAAATTAAATCCACTGGAAATTGAAATTTAAAATTGAAAATCCAATTGAAAATTGAAATTGAAAATTAAAATTTAAAATAGAAAATCCAATTGAACATTGAAATCGAAAATTCAATCAAATTGAAATTTAAAATTGAAATTGAGTTTCAAATTGAAAATGAAATTGAGACTTAGTGTGGAAATGGAAAATCCAGTTGCAGTTTGAAATTGAAAATTAAATCCAATGGAAATCGAACTTGAAAATTGAAATTCAAATTGAAAATTGAAATTGAAAATGAAATCCAATAGAAGTTTGAAATTCAAAATCAAATTCAAATTTCAAATTGAAAATGAAATTAAGACTTAAAGTTGAAATGGAAAATCCAGTTGCAGCTTGAAATTGAAAATTAAATCCAATGGAAATTGAAATTTAAAATTGAAATTCAAATCGAAAATTGAAATTGAAAATGAAATCCAATAGAAATTTGAAATTCAAAATCAAATTCAAATTTAAAATCAAATTGAACATGAAAATGGAAAATTAAATCCAATTGAAATTTAAAATTGAAAATCAAATTGAAAATTCAAATTTAAAATCAGATTGAAAATTGAAATTTAAAATTGAAAACCAAATTGAAAATTCAAATTTCAAATCAAATTGACAATTAAAATTGAAATTTGAAATTGAAAACCAAATTAAAAATCGAATTTGACAACCAAATTGAAAATTGAAATTAAAATGGAAAATCAAATTCAAAATGGAAAATTAAAATTGAAAATCCAATTGAAAATTGAAAATTAAATTGAAATTTGAAATTGAAAAATCAAATTCAAAATGGAAAAATTCAACCCCACAGGGAAGAAATGATCCACAACAACGACGACGGTAACAGTAACGACCCTTGTGGCTCCTTCCAGGACCAGGAGGACGTTGGATTCCCCCCCAACGTGCGTCTGTGGCTTTTCCCGCCCTCAGGAGGCCTCCCCAGCCCCACTTCCGCCTCTACTTCCGCTTCCTCTTCCACTTCCGCCCCCACTTCCGGGTTCTGGGCGTCCTGGGCGGCGAAAACGACCCACTTCCGGGTTTACTTCCGGGTGGCAGGCGCACTTCCGGTTCCATTTCCGGTCCCACTTCCTCCCTGGGGCCTCCACTTCCGCCTCCCTGTCCCATTTCCGGGATCCTCCCTTCCTAACGCTCCACTTCCGGTTCGCAGGCGCACTTCCGGTTTCACTTCCGTGTCTACTTCCTCCCTGAGGCTCCACTTCCGGGTTGCCGTGGCTTCACTTCCTGTTCCAGAACCGTTATTCTTACTTCCTGGTTCTCTACTTCCTGTCCTAGAACCGTTATTCTTACTTCCTGGTTCTCTACTTCCTGTCCTAGAACCGTTATTCTCACTTCCTGGTTCTCTACTTCCTGTTAGCAGGTGCTTCACTTCCTGTTCCAGAACCGTTATTCTCACTTCCTGGTTCTCTACTTCCTGTTCCAGAACCGTTATTCTCACTTCCTGGTTCTCTACTTCCTGTTCCAGAACCGTTATTCTCACTTCCTGGTTCTCTACTTCCTGTTAGCAGGTGCTTCACTTCCTGTGCCAGAACCGTTATTCTTACTTCCTGGTTCTTCACTTCCTGTCCAATAACCGTTATTTTCACTTCCTGGTTCTCTACTTCCTGTTCCAGGACTGTTATTTTCACTTCCTGGTCCAGAACCGTTATTCTCACTTCCTGGTTCTTCACTTCCTGTTCCACTTCCTGTTTCCTGGAAGTGAGAGGCATTTCCTTCCTCCTTCCTTCCTCTTGCTTCTAGATGTTTCCTTCCTCTTCTTCTTTTTCCTTTTCCACTTCCTGTTCTATTTCCTCCTTTCTTCCTCTTCCTTTTTCTTTCCTTTTTTTCTCTTCCTCCTTTTCCTTCTTCTTTTCCATTTCCTGTTCCATGTTCTATTTCCTTCCTTCTTCCTTTGGCTCAAAGTCCTTTCCTTTCTCCTCCTCTTCCTCCTTCCCCTCTTTCCTTTTCCTTCTTTTCTTTCCTTTTCCTTTTTTACTTCCTCTTCCCTGGACGTGAGAGACTTTTCCTTTTTCCTTCTAGTAGTTTCCTTTCTCTTCTTCCTTCACCTCTTCTTGTTTTCCCTCTTTTCCTTCTTTCCTCCTTTTCCTTTTTCTTTCTTTTCTTCCTTCCCTTTTTTCATTTTTTTCCTCCTTCCCTTCTTTTTCCATTTCCTTTTCTTCCTTTCCCTTTTTCTTTTCCTCCTTCCTTCTTTTTTCTATTTTCTTTTCCTCCTTTTCCTTTTTTTCCCTTTCCTTCCTTTTTCCTTCTATTGTTCCTTCCTCTTCCTCCTCTTCTTGTTTTTCCTCCTTTCCTCCTTTTCCTTTTTCTTTTCTTCCTTCCCTTCTTTTTCCATTTTCTTTTCCTTCTTTTCCTCTTTTCCTTCTTTTTCCTATTTTCTTTTCCTCCTTTTCCTTTTTTCCTTCTTTTTCTTTTCCTCCTTCCCTTTTTCCCATCTTTTCTTCCTTCTTTTTCCTTCTAGTTCTTTCCTTTCTCTTCTTCCTCTTCCTCCTCCACCTCTTCTTCTTTTTCCTCCTTTCCTCCTTTTCCTTTTTCCTCTTTTTCTCCTTCCCTTCTTTTTTCCATTTCCTTTTCCTCCTTTTTCTTTCTTTTCTTCCTTCCCTTCTTTTCCTCTTCTTCCTCCTCCACCTCTTCTCCTCCTCTTCCTCCTTTCTTTTCCTCTTTTTCCTTCTTCTTTTCCTCTTCCTCTTCCATTTCCTTTTCTTCTTTTCCTTCTTTTTCTCCTTCCTTTTTCCTTCTTCTTCTTCCTCTTCCTTCAACTGTTACATGTCTCCAGGTCAGCCATGTTGGTTGGGTTGGGTTGGGTTGGGGGGGTCATGGGTCATTCATGGGTAAGTCCTGGGGTGGGGGTGGGGTCAGTCCATTGGGGGGGTGGAGGGTGGAGGTCAAAGGTCAGTCCCTGGGGTGGGAGGTCAAAGGTCACTTCCTGTCACCCTCCTAATTTTTTTTTGGGGGGGAAAGAGAATCAGAGAGGGCAAGAAATGAGCAACAACCAATCCCGCAGGAGCCCCCAAAATGTCATGTCCCCTCCTCCCTCCCCCCCCCTCAAGACGTGCCTCAGTTTCCCTAGACGCGCGTGGTGGAGTGGGCGTGGGGGAGGGGGTTGTTCTGACCCCCTGACCCCCCTCCTGACCCCCCCACCCCTCCCCCTCCACCCCCACCCCCCCCACCAAAGGTGTTGAACGTGTGCAAGGTCGGCCCTGGGGTGGTGGTGATGGTGCTGGGGGTCATCAGGGGGATGTCATCCGGGGATCTGCGCAGGGTCAGCGCGTAGTCGGGGGGACAGGTCAGGTGGAGGGCGTCCTGCAGGTCCCTGGCCTCGTGGGCACCGACGTTGGGGTTCAGCTGCACGGATAGGAGTTCGGTGGGCGCCGAAGAGCGCAGCAGGTGGCGCTGGGCGGCGTCCTGGGGCGCTGGGGTGCGAGTGGCCGTGGATGGGGGGCTGGAGGGGCGTCTGTGGGTCTGGTGGCGCCTCTTGTCCTTCTTGTAGTAGAGGGCAGCGAAGGCCAGGATGTTGAGGAAGAGGAGGGAGGCCCCCACGGCGATGGTGACGCTGAGCTCGGTCGAGTAGTCGCGCTTGGTCTCGATCAGCACGGTGGTGGTGCTGTGTTCCGTCCCCCCCTGCCTCAGTTTACCTTCTGGGCGCAAGGCCTTGGGGCCCAAGATGGAAGAAGTGGAGGCACTGGGCCTCTTGGTGGCTCGCCTGGGGTGCGAGGAGGAAGAGGAGGCCGTGACATCAGGGGCGCGCGTGGTGGTGGTGGACACGTACTGGAGGATGTCGTTGAGGTTGTGCAGGTGGGGTACGAGTTCGAGCCAGAAGGCCACCTTGGTGGCCCGATAGTGGTCTCGAACCCGGGGCTTCAGGCCGATGTGCAGGTACAGCTGGTCCCTGGGGTTGTACTTGGACCAGGCCACCTCCTCGAAACGGTTGGGCTTCGTGTGGATGAACTTGGTGTCCTGGGGCACGGGCTGGTTGGGGTCCCTAAAAAGGGGGGGGGTGAGAAGAGAAAACAGGAAGTGGGTGGAGGGAGGAAGGGGGGGGAGCTGGGGTGGGTTCCTTCCTTCCATCCATCCATCCACCCATCCATCCACCCAACCATCCATCCATCCA